TTGACTAAAATATCTAGAAAAATAGATTAGAAAGAGGAAAAAACAAAAAAAACTAGAAACCTTCAAGTAAACTAGTAAAATGTGCGTCTATGATTCACAATATCTTTTTATAGATTTAAATTTTCAGATCTCTTTCATGGTGGGTTTTTACTATTTTGAAAAGTCACCAGCATAAAGTACATAAAAGCTTATAAGCAAAATACCCCTCATCCAATTATCCCTAAATCAAAATATTCCTAGTGAAGTAATAATATAACATCAAATTTTATTCAAACCTTAGCCAAAAAAAATAAAAAAAGTCAAAAACACAAAAGGGTTGCTTGGAGGAAATGGCAATGAGTGACCGTTAAAAAAAATGCATATAAAGCCCATCAAAACAAGCCGTGTACAAACCTAAGAAAAAGAGAAATGAAAGAAAGTACCAAAAAATAAATTTAATTGGAATAACTGAAGGAAGTTGCATAGTCCAGGGTTTTGAATCCAAAGGTTTACGGGTTTAAGGCCACAGAATTCTTTACGGGAATGAAGTAGGAGAGGGAACGAAGTCCATAGAATTCAAGATTCTGGTCGGGTATTTTTTTCTTGAAGAGTCTAGCAAATTATATTTTGAATATTTGGGTCAAAAGGATTCCTGTGTTATGAGGGTTTGGAACCTTAAAAAATCAAGACCAAACAGTTTTTAGGATACACAATTTAGCTAGGTAAACCTATTGAAAGAAAGAGAGAGAAAAATGAATAACAAAGACAGCGAAAGGGAAATGACAAAAACTTACCTGTGCTCGGCTTCAGTCCAAAAAGATCTTTCTTTCTTCTTTGTTTTACACTTGGTTGGAACTGGTTTCAGCCCAAATGATGTTACACCTAAATCATTGGAAATGTTTTCAAGCAAACTTTCTATCGAATAGGATGAATCAGGAAGCTCCACTTTGCCGGAATCTATTTCTTTTAAATCTTTTAGAAGAGCCTGCATATAAACATCTATCTCACTTTTTCCACACACTATTTCGGCTATTTTCAGCCATGTATCCGGTAAATCATCTGGAAAGGCTGCTCCGACCTCCTCGATCGGCTTACTCGGTTGAAAGGACCCTCCATTGAACACCATCTTTTCTCCCAAAAGCTTTTCTTCCACAAGTTTTGAAGACTGTGAATCGAGAAATAGAGGGAAAAATATGAGGAAACAAAGAGTTGAAATGCGAAAGGCAAGGTGGCAAAACTCTTGATTGATTGAAAGTGGGCTCCACAGCCACTACAATCTACCAAGAGTCTACCACCCACCGGTAGGAAGGCAGTTTTTATAAGACTAAATACCCTTATATAAAAATTTTGAAATTTGACATATTTTTTAATTTTAAAAATTAAAAAATTTAGATAGTTTCTATCTAATTTAGATAGTTTCTATCTCTACAAATTTTGAGATGGTTTCTATGTCTGAAATATTCTACGTAGGACTTAAAATTTGATTTAGATCTCTCTCTAAATTTTTTTAATAATTTCTCTCGCGACAGATTCTTTTCTCTATAACAAATTCAATTTTTAGATTGTTTCTCTATCTGAAATTTTTTAGAAATCTCTATCTAAAATTTGAAATTTGAGATAGTTTTTTTTCTTTGAAAATTTTGAGATAGCTTCTCTCTTTAAAAACTATGAGATAATTCTCCATCTAAAACTTGAAATTTCATACAATTTCTCTCTTGGAAATCATCTATATTTAACATGCACCAACAAAAAGATGAATTAAATGAGAAGCCATGAATTATTGTCAACATTTTCACAAAAAAAAGAAAAAAAACAAAAAACCAACGATTGATTAACAGGTGAAGTGAAGAATAAAGAACATAAAGATTACCAGAGAACTGAGAAAAACCAAGGCACACGTGTTTCTCTCTTTCTCTCTCTCTCTCGAACTAGTCAAATATCTTTCTCTTTCTCTCACTAACTCTCCCTCAAAATGGTCCGACTGAAAATGAAAGAGTGGTTCTCAAAATTTATAAGCCATTGTCTTGATAAGTTCTAAAGATGATGGATGGTTCTAAAGATAATATAATAGGAAGAGTTAAAAAATTAAAATAGGATTTAAATTTTTAGAAAATTAAATACCCAAATAACCTCGGATTTGGCCGTTACAACTTAACTAAACCCAATTAATTTGGGACTTTAAACATGGATATTTGTTTTTTATTTTGAGAAAGATTTGCACAACTTTTATTCTTTGTTTAAAGTTCATATTGATCCTATTAACCCCAGATTTGGCCGTTACAATTTAACTAAA